CTGCCTCCATGGCAGACAATTTCTCCCCATACTCTCTCTTTACTTTTGGGCATTATGGTTTGCAATACAGACCCTGAGAGGTTATCATGTCTGTTCCTTTATCTACTTTCAGCACACAGCTCCCATCCTGACTGATTCCTCCAACCATCATTTTCTTAGTGATCCCTTCTCTATTCCAGCTGCCTTCTCCTCCCCCCTCACCCCCGCAACCGCTCATGAGGCAGGCTTCCAGCGATGGAGCAATCTTCCTGGCCCTTGTGTCTACTGTCCTTGGGTGTCTGTGTCTACTGTCCTTGGGTGTCAGTCTCATGTTATATTATTTTATACTCCACAATTGAGTGCACTTCTTCTATATATGTCCCTCTCTTTCTGACTCATTTCACTTAGCATGATACTCTCCATTTCTATATACTTATAAGCAAATTTCATGACTTCATCTCTCTTAACAGCTGCATAGTATTCCATTTTATAGATGTACCAAAGTTTCTTTAACCAGTTGTCTACTCTTGGGCACTTGGGTTGTTTCCAGATTTTGGCTATTGTAAACAGTGCTACAATGAACATAAAGGTACAAATGTCATTTCTACTGTGTTTTTTTGCATCCTTGGGATATATTCCCAGCAGTGGCATTGCGGGGTCATATGGACGCTCAATTTCTACTTTTTGAAGGATTGTCCATATTGTTTTCCGGAAAGGCTGGACCAGTTGGCATTCCTACCAAAGGTGAAAGAGCGTCCCTTTTCCCTCACATCCACGCCAGCACTGGTTGCTTTTGTTCTTTTGAATGTGTGCCAGTCTCTGTGGTGTGAGATGAATCTCACTGTTGTTTTTGATTGGCATCTCTCAGGGTATTCTTGTACCAATAAATGTCAGTGTCAATTTTGGCCATGACAAAGAGTCACATCATACTACAAAAGGTAACCAAAAAGACCAGACAAATAACTTAGGTTGAAAACACAAACATGAGTAACTCTCCTTATGGATGACACATAAATAATTCAAATAGTTCACCCACTACATGAACAGTTTACCCAGACCCATAAATCAGGGACACGTTCACTTCACTGTTAATAACAACAGGAGACCATGACAGATGCCCTCATATCAGTGAAAATGGCTATTATCTAAAAGGCAAGAAACAAGTGTTGGAGAGAAGAGGAATCTTTCTCCAGAACTGGTAGGGATATAAAATGGGACAATCATCAGGAAAAGTAGTATGAAGAGTCTGCGAAATAAATTAAAAATAGGGTTAAAATATAGTATATTGGGTAGGATGCTTGCCTTGCACGCGACTGACCTGGGTGCAAACCCCAGCATCCCATATGGTTCCATGAACATTGCCAGGAGTAATTCCTGAGTGCTGAGCAAAGAGCAACCCCTAAACATTGTCCCGTCCCCCCAGAAAAATACCCAAAAATCATTATTTAAAAAAAATCGTTTAAGGGGCTGGAGCTATAGCACAGCAGGTAGGGTGTTTGCCTTGCACGGGGTCAATCCATGTTTGATTCCCAGCATCCCATGTGGTCCCCCGAGCACAGCCAGGAGTAATTCTTGAGTGCATGAGCCAGGAGTAAACCCTGTGCATTGTCCAGTGTGACCCAAAAAGCAAAAAAAAAAAAATTGTTTAATTGAATCACAGTGAGATACATAGTTACAAAGTTGTTCATGATTGGGTTTCAGTTATATAATGTTCCAACACCTGTCCTCAAACCCCCAAAATTAAAACTAGTGGAGCAATAGTATAGCAGATAGAATGCTTGTCTTGTACACAACTGACCTCGGTTCTATCCCTGGCACCCCACATAGTCCCCTGAGCCTGATAGGAGTAATTCCTGACTACAGAGCCAGGAACAAGCCAGGAAAAAGAAATTCCTGAGTACTGCTGGATGTGGCTACCAAACAAAAAAAATTAAAAACAGAAATGCCCTACAATTAGCTTATCTGGGTTCTTGGCACCCCCAAATAGAAAATACTAACCTCAAGCGATACATGCATCCCCTCTAGTTCTCTGTGGCCTATCAGCAATAGCCAAGAACTAACTGGAAATAATATAGTTGCCCCTCAAGTGATAAATGAATAAAAGTGGGAGTACATATATAGAGACAATGTAATATTTCTGGTTGAAATCCTGCCATCTGCTAAAACATACACCTGGCGGTTACTATGCTCCCTGAAATAAGCTAGATGGATAAATAAACAATATACAATCTCAGCAGGTAAACAAAGAAAATACACAAACTAAGTAAAATAAAGATAACCTCAGACTTTAATCCAAAAGGGAAGGGAAAGAAGTGGGTACATGAGAGTCAAAGGGAAAACAGAAGGGTCTGGTGAAGAACAGAAGTGGAGGGCCAGGTAAACAGCTCACAGCACTGAACAACATAGTCTGAATGTGAAACCCCCAGGTTCTGTTCCTGGTACCACGTGAGCCCTGTGGCAACACCAGGAACAACCCGTGAGCACCGAGTCAGGAGCAGACCCTTAGTACTGCTGGGTGTAATCCAAAAACTAAGCAAGAACAGAATTGGACTTTGATTGGTAACTTTAATGCAGTATATAGAAATGCTCATTTTCAATGCTGCACATCTGAAATTTTTTTATTTAAGTTTCTAAATTCCAACAAAAAGGTGATAAAACTGTACTCGACAAATATCTGTTCAATCTATGCTGTATAATTTCTCTCTCTTTCTCGCTCACATTTTTATGAGAAACTATTTTACTTAAAAAAAAATCTGCACAGCAAATGACTGCAACTTGGATGGAACTGGAAGACATCACGTTAAGTAAGTCAGAAGAAGGCCAGACAAAGGATGATCTCACTTATCTCCAGAACAACAGGAGAGCGGGCATCCCTGCATTGCCCTTCAAAGAGTGTAGGAAGGTCAGGGAAGGAGAGAGATTGAGGGGAGAAGTATGAGGGAGTGGACAGGAGGGATCAAGGAAGAGGTCAGTGGCCCTGGGAACATTAGTGGGGCAGAAGTGTGATATATCTAAACCTCAGAGCCAATGACTTCAAAGCAGGAGATCCAAACAGTAATAAGCAAATATTAAAATGTGCCTTGTCAAGGAGGCAGGCTGGGGGGTAGGAAGGATCCAGGGAAACTAGCACTGCAGCACTGTACTCCTGTTGTTCATCAATTTGCTCAGATGGGCACCAGTAACGTCTCCATTGTGAGACTTGTTTTTGTTTTTGGCATACTGAATATGCCATGGGGAGCTTGCCAGGCTCTGCCATGTGGGCGGGATACTCCTAGTCGCTTGCCAAGCTCTCTGAGAGGGATGGAGGAATCGAACTCGGGTCTGCCGCGTGCAAAGCAAACGTCTTACCTGCTGTGCTATCGCTCCAGCCCCCAGGGGAAACTAAGGAAGGAAAATTGATATTGGTGGTGGGATTGCTGCTAGAACACTATATATCTGGAACTTGACTATTCTGTAACTTAATTTAAAAAAATAGTGAAAAAATATTCTGCACTAAAATTTAGCCTGTTACAGAGGAATGTAGTCAAAGTGATCTATTTTAATCCAAAAACATGTTGAAGAAATATGCATTTCTTTTCAGAAATTATCATTTCAGTTTCTTCAGGGATACATACATAAATGATAAAATTATTTTAGAAATGTAGATACAATAAACAATATTCAGGACAGGGCCACTACCTGTGGAGAGGAAAAAGAGAGTCTACTGGGGAGGGGGTCTCTGGAAGGCTTTGAAGATTTCTGGTAATGTTCTAGTTCCTAAGTTCTGTGCAGATATTTATATTATCTAAAATAAAAGTTTATTTATTTACTTTTTAAAAGTACAGAGTCTCCTGCCTCTGCGCCTGGCTGTCCTTACTAGGGCCCCTTGGAGGAGGGTGGGTTGAGTTTCCCTCCCAACCCCGAGCAGAGCCTCCGGTTCCAGCCACAGCCACGCTTAAGACCACTCTGCACACGTTCGGACGAGCCTCACGCATGAAGGAACTGGCAGAGGAACCCAGGTGTGCGAGAACCGGGGGTAGATCTCCAAGCCTGCTCGGATTGGGACTCGGGCCTCCTCCACCAGATCCCCCATCTTCCAGTATGTAGGCGTTACACTCACCAACTACCTCCAGCGCTCTGTAATCCCATCAACGGCCAAGACCCAGAGACTATAAAACCCAGCTCCCGGAATGCGGATGCACGACATCTTATTATCTAGTTCTTACTCTGGAGAATCTGGCAGGCTACAAAAAGTATCCTGCTTGCATGGCAGAGTCTGTCAAACTCCCCGTGGCATATTCAGTATGCCAAAAACCAGTAATAATGATGGGTCTCATTCTCCTGACCCTGAAAGAGCCTCGAATGTGGCACTTTCTAAAATCTCAGGGCAAGGATGAGGGAGACATTACTGGGGCCTGCTCAAGGCAATCGATGAACAACAGGATGACAGTGATACAGTGATTTAAAGTACATTCAAAGGCTAAGATAAATAGCAATTTCGATCTCATCCCATCTAGAAGGGAACCGTCTGTAGAGACAAAGGGGTAAGAACGAAAACATTTCCTTAGCTACATAAAAAAAAAGTTATATAAGGCAAGTAAGGAAAGGCTGCTAAATTTCAGGGCTGGGATGAATGGAAACTGATGCCTGCTGGAGCAAATCGATGAAGAACGGGAGGACAGTGATACAGTGATACAGTGACAGCACTGTAGCACTGTCCTGCTATTGGTTATCGATTTGCTTGCGTGGGTCCAGTAACGTCTCCATTGTGAGACTTATACAAACAAAACTGGCCACATCTGACCTCCCTCCATATCCTGTCTCCTGTCACAAGGCCTGAGTAGCAAGGGGTCGACGGTGGGGAAGCGACAAGCGGGATGGAGAGGGTGGGGGGTGCGTGGGAGTTGAGGGGTGCAGCGCACTGGGGGAGGGGACGCTTCCTGCTCCACCCTGAGTTTCTCCTGTCTCGACTAGCCCAGATCATGCTGACGGCCCAGTCTCCGAACCGGCCACTCTCCTGCTGTCCCCGCTGTGGAACTTACCAATCGGTTTTCATCAAACACTTCAAACAGAAGCCGCTGCTGCTGAGGATGAACCTGAGAGAGACAAACAAAGTGTCTTTAATAAGAAGAGAACACGGTCCTTACACCAAGATAGAGATGTCTGAAGATGCAGCCATTCCTAAGGCATGTCCTTTATAGTATTTTTTTCTTCTGATTTTTACATTTTATTTTTCAACTTAAATATAATTTTGGTTTTCTTTACGAAACTGCATTCTTTTGAGTGGATTTTTATTTTCTTATTATTTAAAGGGCTGGAGCGATAGCACAGCGGGTAGGGCATTTGCCTTGCACAAGGCCAACCTGGGTTCAATTCCTTCATCCCTCTTGGAGAGCCCAGCAAGCTACTGAGAGTATCCCGCCTGCACGGCAGAGCCTGGCAAGCTCCCTGTGGCGTATTCGATATGCCAAAAACAGTAGCAATAACAGATCTCATTCCCCTGACCTTGAAAGAGCCTCCAATATGTTGGGAAAGATGAGTAAGGAGAGGCTACTGAAATCTCAGCGCTGGGACAAATGGAGACGTTACTGGTGCCTGCTCGAGTAAATCGATGAACAACAGGATGACGGTGATACAGTGATGTAAATGGTACCCTCCAGTTTTGTTCATTATTGAGACTCTGAATATGTGTAGCTGGAAACGTTGTCCTTGCATTTCAGGGTGGTTGAAGAGGTGAACCTTTAGAGGCAGTCAATGATGGAATACGGAGGAGAGCTCTTAAAAGGGAGCTAAGCCGGGGATCTTTGTCCCGCCTGGAACCTGACAGCTGGCACGTGTACAGGGGCACCAGAGCCAGGGGGAACTTGGATGCCCCCTTAGTGAAGGACAGGCATCCTGGGGCAGAAGGAGCACAGGGACCAGGCAGGGAAATGGCTCCCAGGATTTGCATGTGCAAGACCACAAATTAGAAGGCTTGAGTGCCACCGGGTGGGCTCGGGGGTGGGTGGGGTGGGGAGTAGTCTGAGGCCCCCTAGCACCACTGTGGCCCCCACAAATATAAAACAATAATCTTTGGGAGACCTACGCCTGGTGGTGCTCAGGGCTTACTCCTGGCTTACTCCTGGCTTTGTGCACAGGGATCACCCCTGAGGCTCTAGGCGGTACCAGGAATGGAATTGCGATTGATAAAGCTGACTGTCCTCGCCACCAGGGCCCCATGGAGGGGAGCGGGTTGAGCTTTCCTCCCCGCCCCGACCAGGGCTCCGGCAGCCAAAGACCTCCAGGACCAGCCACCACCATGCTGAGACCACTCTCCGCACACATGAAGGTACTCTGGCAGAGGGACAAAGCCACGCGGGTTCCGGGGCCGAGATCTCCAAGCCTACTTGGATTTGGGCCGAGCATCCTCCACCCAGATCCTCCAAATTCCAGTAGGCGGGGGTCACACCCACCAACTGGCCCCCTGGCGCCGTGTAATCCCATCAGCGGCCAAGACTCAGAGACTATAAAACCAGCTCCCAGAACCCGGGACATCTTATTATGACATCTTATTATCTCATTCCTACTTTGGACAAACTACATTCGGTAGCCTGCCCACACGGCAGAGTCTGGCAAACTCCCCGTGGCGTGCCCAATATGCCAAATACCAGTAACAATGATGGGTCTCATTCTCCTAAAAAGCCTTGAATATAATCTCAGGGCTAGGGTGAAGGAGACGTTACTGGGGCCTGCTCGAGGCAATCGACGATTAACAGGATGATTTGTGATTTGTGATAAAGTACAGGCAAGTGCTTCCCTCACTGCACCTATAGCCTTGTCTAAGAGACCTAGAGGAAATTGGGGGAAGGAGCAGAAACTCGATCTGGGACATGAACGATGAAGAAGTTTGAGTAAGTGCCGAGAACATTCAAGGCCAAGAGATCACAGTAAAGAAGAAAGGTATGGGGTAAAAGGAGCCTGAGCAAAGGAAAACAGATGAACAAGAAAACCATTTTTTCCCTTTTTTTGTAAGGTAAAGGTAAAGGCCCTCCTGTTGATCATCGATTTGCTCAAGCGGGCCCAGTAACGTCTCCATTGGAGACTTTGTTGTTACTGTGTCTGGCATATCGAATACTCTTGGTAGCTTGCTGGGCTCTCCGAGAGGGGCGGAGGAATCGAACTCGGGTCGGCCATGTTGGCCGCGTGCAAGGCAAATGCCCTACCCGCTGTGCTATTGCTCCATTCTTGACAAATCTTACTGAGTTACCATGTGTCTGCAATACAACACAATTTGGAAGTACTGCTTCATACCTCTATTAAGTTTCTAGGCGTCAACAAATGCCCCCAAAAGGGCTTCTCGCTCAGACACTTTTATACAAGAGAGTGCCCAAAAGATCTGAGGCTGGAGAAACAGCCTTCAGGGGTGGAGCCATGGCAGGCATGTTGCCTGTTTTGATTCCCAGCTCCGAATGCCTAGGTATAGCCTTGATAATCCCCAGCACTACTGGGGAGATCATTTTGCAACACATCCCAGAAGATGAGAGGTAGAACAGTGGTTATGGTGCAAGCTAGGCTTGCCTGGGTTCAATTCCTGGTACCACCAGGTCCCCAGAGCATTGCTGGGTTCAGCCCTGGAAGACCCTGGCACCGCCAGAGTGGCCTGGATATTCCCAACACTGCAGGGCTTACGCAGGATTGCACTGCCGGGCTGTTGCATTGAACTGCAGGCCTGACTGGTTGAGAGTTGTCAGTGGGCCTCCTGAGCACTGCTTGGAAGGCCCCAATCTCCTCTCCCCCCACCTCGTCCCATGTCAAAAACAAACAAACAGAACAAATGAAAAGATTTGGGTTGGCCCAGAGCAACAGTACATCAGGGAAGGCCCTTGCACACGGGCCAACTGGGGGTTCAATCCCCAGCATCCCATATGGTCCTCCCAAGCACCGCCAGGAGAGATTCCTGAGTGTAGAGGCAGGAGTAACCCTCGAGCACCAACAGGGGTGACCTCAAAAGCCAAAAAAGTAAATAAATAAAAGATTTGGGTAGTTAAGGCAGAACAATACTAAATTCAGAAAAGGAATTACAACTTCACTGGCTGAGGAGAAAAGAAAGCCCTACAGGAAAAAAATGAAATGTGTATCACTGTCACTGTCCTCCTGTTGTTCATCGATTTGCTCAAGCAGGCACCAGTAATGTCTCCATTGTGAGACTTGCTGTTACTGTGTTTGGCATATCGAATATGTCATGGTAGCTTGCCAGGCTTTGCCATGTGAGTGAGATACTTTCGGTAGCTTGCTGGGCTCTCCGAGAGGGACGGAGGAATTGAACCCAGGTTGGCTGCATGCAAGGCAAACGCCCTACCTGCTGTGCTATCCCTCCATGCCCATTGTGTATCATAGATAAACATTTTATCAGCAACGATAAAATAAAGTGAACCAAGAGAGGCACTCAAGTAATGTAGGTGTGAAGTGCTGAGGGCTTTGCCTCAGTGATCCCAGTAAGAAAGACCATGAAACGCAGGCAGGGGAACAATCTCAATTCAAAAGGGATTAAGAATCTTGATATCAAACCTGTTTCTATAAACACATTGAGGTGGTGATGGAGAGAAATGTGGTGGGACTGGAGAGGGGTTAAGAAACCTTCCTTGCTATCTGCCTACACGGCACTGCATAACATTCCCCAATACCAACAGGAGTGATTCCTGAGCAGAGTCAGGAGAAAGCTCTGAGTACCAATGGATGCCACGAGTAAGCTCTTCCCTGCCAAAATAAGTAAAATGAAACACGGGAAAAAAACAGGCAGGACTCTCCAAGCTTTTGACTTCAAAGGAGATGTCAATGATATGGCCTCATTGGCAGAAATAAACAAATGAGACTCCATCAAACTAAAAATCTTCTTTCCATAAAAAAAATAAGGCTAGGGGCTGGAGCAATAGCACAGCGGGTAAGGTGTTTGCCTTGTACGCGGTAAACCCGGGTTCGATTCCTAGCATCCCGTATGGTCCCCTGAGCACCGCCAAGGGTAATTCCTGAGCGCAGAGCCAGGAGGAACCCCTGTGCATTGCTGGGTGTGACCCAAAAAGCAAAAAAAAAAAAAAAAGGCTAGATAAATAAGACACCCTACCGAAAAGGAGAAAATTCTGCACATCAGACATCACACAGAGTGGTAATGTTCAAGATAAACACAGCATTCTCAAAGATCAACAACAAAAACCAAAACCACTCCATTAAAAAATAGGAGAAGAGATGAACAGCTCCTCAGAGAAGACCTAAAGACGGCCAAAAGACCAACAGATGGCCAAATGTTCATGGGAACTGATTATCAGGGAAATGTAAGTCCAAAAGACAGTGAGGTATCCTTTCACAACAGCAAGAATGGTCCACCTGGAAAAGACTGGAAACACCAAGTGCTGGAGGGACTATGCTATGGTTAAACTACTTTAGGAAAACCATTTAGAGACTCCTCAAACATTATGAATAGGATTCCTTCTGACCTAGCAATTCAATTTCTTAGCATCTACCCCCAAAACACAAAAACATTAATACAGAAAGGTCTATGCAACTCACGATGGGTTGTTCCATCTGGGGACGCTGGAGTGGGGCAGGCAAGTCCCACCACCCACCCCAAAAGAGCCCCGCCAGCCAAAAACCTCCAGAACTCAGTTACCATCATGCTCATGGCCTATCTCTAGAGGCTCAGACGAGCCTCATCCATGAGTAAATCTGCTGAAAAGCCCAGGTATGTGGGACTTGTGACCGAAATCTCCAGGCTCGTCTGGAATCGGCTATGGTGACCTCCCCCACATCTATCTGTGCTTCCAGTAGCCTCACAGTCACGCACATGAATTGCCTCTGGCACCACTGAAGTTCAACAACTGCCATGATCCAGAGACTCACAAAAAAACTCAGAAGAGGAAGAGAGCAGCACATCTCCAAGATACCTCTGGTCACAATCCAGTTAAAAATTTTATTCTAGGGGGCTGGAGTGATAGCACAGCGGGTAGGACATTTGCCTTGCACATGGCTGACCTGGGTTCAATCCCCAGCATCCCATATGGTCCCCTGAGCACTGCCAGGAGTAATTCCTGAATGCAGAGCCAGAGTAACGCCTGTGCATTGC